TCACGACCCGCGCCACTGCGCCTCAGGTCCATTCTCACTGCCCGCGCCACTGCGCCTCAGGCCCACTTGGCACACCGGCCATTCATGCTTTCACACGGACCGCCGTCAACACGTCCCAAGTCCGTAGCCCTCCGATCAATCCGGGCTCAATTTCCAATGACCGACGTAAATACGTCCCGGTCCAACACACCTCTAACGGGCCACCGTCAACACGTCTCAAGCCCGCATCCATTTGGCACACCGGCCATTCATGCCTTCACACGGACCGCCGTCAACACGTCCCAAGTCCGTAGCCCTCCGATCAATCCGGGCTTATAATCGACAGGCATGCACACGCCATTCAATTCAATCAATTTCACGCCAATTGCATTAAACCATCCATATTCACAACTCACCACGTCAATCCACAAACCCGACGTTCAAGTCGGCCACGTACGATCACCCAAATCATGCACATCATTTTATCCAATCCAATTAGCACAATCATATCATAATATAATTAAATTAAATCACGCTCTAACCGTTCTAAACCCGAGACAAGTCATAAAATACCCAAAGTACTAGATAGGGTTTAGGAAGTCACTTACTTCAATTTGGCTCGGGAAAAACCCGCACGGGCTCAAAAACGGGCCGGATGAACAAGGCTTAGAATGAACAAGAACGGGCCTTGATGAACAAAGTGTTCGGAATGAACAAGAATGGCCTGGATGAACGAAGACTCGGAATGAACGAAGAACGGGCCCCTGGATGAACGATTACTCGGAATGAACGAAGAACGGGCCCCGGATGAACAGTACTCGGAATGAACAGTACGGGCCCCCCGGATGAACAGTGACGCCCCTCCCCCGGCTGAACCGAACGAGCAAGGGCGCGGGCTCGGCCACGGCTCGGGGCACTCTCGGGCTGGCTGGGCAGGGTCGCCGGGGCTAGGTGGTGGTAGACGGGGCAGCGACGGCGGCGGCAGTGCGGCGCGCGGCTGCTGGTCGAGGCGGCGCGGGGAGAGCCCAAAACAGGGGAGGCGTCGGGGAGGAAGAAAAACGAGAGGAAGAAAGGTGGTGGCGGCCAAGGGGGAAGCGGCGGGTCGGCGGAGGTGGCCGAGGGGAGAGACTGGGTGGCGGAGGCCGAGCGGCGGCGGCCGGAACGACGGCACGCGGCGGCGGCGAAGCTGGGAGCCGAAACTGGGGAAGGCGTCGGGGAAGAGAGAAACAGGGGGAGAGGAAGTCGCGCGGCGGCCGGAGGTGGCACGGCGGCGTCTCGGGTGGCCGGGCGACGGAGGACAGGCCGGCGGACGGCTGGGCAACGCCGGACCACGGCGGACGGCGACGGGGCTGGAGGCGAGCTCGGTCGGCGTCGGCTGGTGCGAGCAGAAGCAGAAACGATCGAGCGACGAAGGAGGAGGAAGAAGAAGAAGAAAGAAGGAAGAAGAAAAAGAAAAAGGAAGAGAGAGAAGGAGAAGGGATGGGTCTGACACAGGGGAGAAGGGATAGACGTGCGCAGGGGGAGGTGACCGGGGAGAGAGAGAGAGAGAGAGAGAGAGAAAACAATAAAAAATTTAACTTCAATCAAATATTAAATGCGATCCGATGACCCAAATTCAAAATCGAAAGCGATCTACCGGTCCAAAATAAGCCTCGCATATAAAAAGGGACAAAGGCCGAATTAATTAAATCAAACTATATCGAGGGAGGTCTACTAGTCCAAATTCGCACCCGGTCAAAAACTCCCCTTTTTCCATTATTCCTGACAATCTCAACGCTGGCTACGATAATATTGACACCGACCAATTTATTTCGTCCCGAAACTCCCGAAAATCGACCGTCAAGTTCGGGGTCTAAATAACGGCCACCCGACCGAGCGCGATTCTAGCGAAATCTCAATTTTAAAACAATAACCGAGAGTGATCAGTTCCCGGGCGAGATTTTACTATAAGCACACTGACGAATTACACGTTTTATAAATCCCAACTATGGGCCGAAATTCGGAATGTCACATAACATGAGACATGGAATAGTTTTGTCATGTGACCCGCATCTGCACTCGCCACGTGGTGCTCCACTATGCTTCTATGATTGTCACACAGCATGACGCGTGGCATAATTTTTGTCATGTGGCCCACATTCACATGCTTGCTAGGTGGCACTTCAATTGAATTTTGGCATAGTTTTATCCCAAACTACTTTCGTCTGCTAATGGAGGGTAGATTTGGGTGAGGAGTATCAGTTTGTGAGTTTTTGTTAGAAGAAAATTAGTTTAGGGTCAATGTCTCTTAATCATACTAGTTTAGGATTTTTGTGAGACGAAAATTAATTAGGGGTAAATCTGCATACTGATTTGGGATTTTTAATGGTCTTTATTCTAATTTTTTAATAATTGTTAACACAATTTTATTTGTGAACTTTTTTGTATTGTGTATCTATATTAATAATATCTAAAATGTATAATCATGAGGGTTAGCTCTAATTAGCTAATATATATGTATATATATGTATGTATGTATGTATGTATGTATGTATAAGAAGCGGTAAAGTTTTGAAGTGTCTAGTAATTTCTCAAAACAATTTTTAATTTTCATAAAATCAGTTTATAGTAACTTTGAATAGGCTAAGAAATTTACTCAGAAACTTGAATAGTAGATTCCGAGTTGTCTGAACTACGGAAGCTCTTTGCTTCCTTCCACATGAAGAGCGTTGTGGCCTAAGCATATGTAATTATGACATATGCACCCGGTCAATATAGATTATATAGCAGTCAAGGATATGTAATTGTGACCTTTCCTTTCCCTGAGAAACCCAATCTCCCCCATGTGTTGTGTAGCCAATTTTATAACCCTCAATCAAGCTAAGCCCCTGCAAATTAATTATGATATTATTAATGATCGATATTATAAAACCATGGACAACGTGAATGGCAGCGGATATTAAATTACCATCATTTCATGAGTTTGACTCCCCTGTCTATGTACAACAACTAGCATAGGCCTATTTATGGACTCCGCAGCAGATCAATTCTACATTAAATAAATAAATTGCTCAATATTTACGATTAACGACCTAAAATATAATAATTTCTTGAAAGATCAATATCGGATATGCTTTATTAGCAGCCTATTCTCATAACGGGAATTCAACGGTTTAAATGTAAGGAAGCAACATCATCATACAAGCGCCCCTTTTTGTCCCTTTCAGAATGTTTATCAAACCTGATTTTGCTGTTTTTGCAGGACTTCCAAAATTTGAAGTACATTAATTTCAGTTGCTGTGAGTCATTGGTTTGCATACCCGACCTCTCGTGTACTCCAAATCTTGAGGAATTGGATCTTCAAAATTGCAAAGACTTGGTAGAAGCCCATCAGTCAATCGCATATCTTCACAAGCTACAAGTGCTGAATTTCTCGGGGTGCTCTGAACTTAGAGTTTTTCCAAATGAGCTCAAGTCAAAAAATCTTCAAACTCTCAATCTTAAGAAATGCACAAAGTTTGAAAGGTTCCCTGATATTCCACATAAACTCACAGCCCTAAAGCAGCTTTATTTACAAAACACTGCTATTAAAGGACTTCCTGCATCAATAGAAAATCTTGTCTCTTTGGAGTTCATGAATTTAAGTAAATGCAAGAACTTGATGAGTCTTCCGTCTAGCATTTACAAGTTACAAAACCTTAAAGGTTTGGTTCTTGTTTTTTGCACAAATTTAAACGGGTTTCCAAAGTTTGAGGATTCGGCTGATCCTTGCATGAAGACCAAACTTTCAAATTTAGATGTGTTAAACCTTCGGGGATGTAATTTGTCCGAAGTAGACTTTCTTGAGAATCTTTCATGTTCTCCACTCTTGACAACATTACTGCTGTCGGGGAACAATATTACTAGCCTTCCTAAATCCTTCAATAAGCGTCATCGTTTGTCCCATTTGAGAGTTGAAAATTGCCGTCAATTACAGGAGATTCCTAAGCTTGCACCATTTTTCCATTATGTTCGGGCGCATAATTGCAAATCTCTGCAAAATTGTGGAGATTTAACTTCAGTTCATGATTTTGTCCGTAGAGGGTTGACCATGACTTATATTTCCTCTTCTCCCAGGGTAAGATTCTCTCTCTCACACACACACACACGCACACACACGCACGTATATTGATGTGGACTATATGCTGGATTGGGTGTGTGCTCATTTATTGCAATAGCAGAAAATGCAAGATTGGAGGCTTAAGAAAATCAAACAAATATAAAGTGATTTTGCACGTGTATGCATGTAATGGAGTTGGCTACCGTACTTTTATGGGAATGATTTCTATCACACGAGACTTGTACGTTAATGCAAGCAAGGATTAATGGATCTCCATCTGTTTATAGAGCTCTAATTCCAAGTGGAATTCTTTAGCATTACTTACTAAATTCAAATTGAATTTTTCTATTTGGGTACTAATAACAAACTTGGGTACTTTCTAATGATATATCTTTGTTTTAGGATTTAAATTACCATCTTTTTCTTCCACGAGGAGAGATGCCGGAGTGGATTATCCCTTCTGAGAATGATTCCATATATTTCATGGCTTCACAAGATTTGTATGACAAATTTTTTGGGTATGCTCTCTGTATCGCTCTGGATAAGGGTAAAGAAACGACAGAGGCATATGATTTTGTTGCTTGCGTTAATGGCGAAGCGCGACAAGGTAGTACATTATTTATCGAACCATTGGAGTTGGATCATATCCATCTTTTTTATCTCGCACCACCAAACTTGTGGGGAGTAGTCGATTTTGATCAAATTGAACGGAGTCATAAAATATTTAGCCTTACAGTATCCGGTAAATATGTGAAAAAGTGGGGATTCCGAATATTTTGCAAGCAACTGGAGGACGATCTAAAAGTCGTGCTCCAAGATGATGGGCTAATCGATCCAGCTTTACTCTGCGAGATCGATTGTGAATCCACATATTCAGAAGTCAAGAGTTTACCTATGCACAAAGATGGTTCGACCGAAACAGACCCACACAAAGACCTGCAAGATCATCAAAAGAGAGATGAACAAATAGCACCCAAGAGAAAGCATGAGCTTATTCCCGCTCAAGGCAAGCGAATCAAGACCACGTCGACTTCCTCCGATTCGACCGATGCAGAAGAGAATGATCGAGAAACTTGCGAAGGCAGCAATTCGTAGGTTAGTGAGCTCCCTGAATTTTTTCTTTTCTTTTCTTACTTGTTCTTCTCGTTTTCTCCTCTCTTTTTATCTCTTCTTCTCTGTTTTTTTCAGCATCACGACTCCTCCTCATCTTCCGCCATCCGACACCACCACCGATCTCTGACGAAACGGAAGATCGCCACCTGCCGACGGAGGCGACGAGCGAATCGACGGCTACGGAGACCGGCGAGCGGGAGGCGACGGACTACCACTGCCGACCGATGCAATGGAAACTAGTAAAGCAGCTCGGGGTGAACGATTCTCTCCTGAGGTTCTGGGCTTCATGTAGATTGCTGTAGATCAGCTCGATTTTGAATTCGATTCGTACGGCGCTGCAATTGTGCGGGAGCTTGAGGGATGTGTCCGTGAATTTGTTAGAGAGATGTTGAATAAGGTGCTTCTTCGTAAGTTTAGTCTGTGGATGCTTGGTAGTGATTTCACTGGCAATCGACGTTACGCGCTGCGAAATCAGCAACGATCCCTAGAAGGTATACCTTTTTCTTTCTTTCTTTTGATAAGTGGGCAATTTATTCAAAGAAGTAGGTGAAGTCTAGGTTCAATGGGAAAAACAAGCAGAGGGAGAGTGAAACAATGGGAAGTAGCTTGTGCATGGTTTGGTTTAGTTCGCTTTTCGGGCGAAAACTGAGCCACTCCGGGTGCTATAGGTTGGGACTCCCTTACGCGAAACCAGGCATTGCAGCGGACAACCAGCCACAGTGGTGTTAAGGAGGGGTTGCTTTTGAGGTGTCTAGGAAATGTGGATATGTAGCATGTACAATTCATACAGATATGCAGCGGGTGAAAGGTTTTCCAGGACTATTGAATTGTGAGAAACTTCGATCGCTAGGATAGGGCTCTGTCTTTATGTTTTGTGCAGCACTTGAAGAGGCAAAACCATTCAGGAATGAAGAAGATGCAGTGAGATAGCAAGCCACTAGGAAAGGTTCCTGGACAGTCTGAGTCCTTCTACCAATTGTTGACTTTGGCATCTACGGAGAATTAAAAACCAAATTTACTTGGAGCATGAGTTGTGCCCATGGATAACTGGTTAGGTGGTTATTTTCTTTCTCCCAGTGGACTGTGAGTATGAAAAGAAAAAAATCACAAGAAACACGGAGTTTACATAAGTTATTCAGTAGGATAGAGACAAAAGCACGAATAGCTGATTGTCAGTTGTGATTTCTGAGGCCTTCGCAACAGTTTAGCGCTCACTTTTTATGCTTATGTGCCATAGTGTTTATGGAGGAAAATGACCTAGAAGCTAAAGCTCCCGGAAGCTTCTTGAATGTTTGAGTGAAACCTAATTAATGAAAGAAAAGCTTCTGAGGTACCAATGATAAGACTTACTGGAGTCAGCAACATGTAGTTTCTCAAATTAGTTGCTATTTTTGCTTTAGTGTTGTTAGAGCCATATCAGTTCAACAGTTAGGTGGGATTCGCATCTGAATTACAGGATGAGTATGTGGTAATAACCATTGCTTGGAATTTGTGACCAGTAGATTATACAGGACCTGCAAGATCTTGATCACATAGCTATGAGACATGCATTCATTTGATCCGTAGCTACGAGACATGCTGAATATTTCTACTGGTAGCAACTTGATGCTGATTTCCTCTTGAATTATTTCTGACTCTTATCCTCATGTTTTCTTTTCCTAACCAGTAATGAGACCTATTTGCTTTTCGTATATAAGGCAAAGCTTGCTTTCGAAAGCTTGAAGTTCCAGTTGGGTAAGAAACTGATTTTCAGTAACTAGGTGCATTTCAGATGTGTTACCTTATTTTCTAATTAAGATGATTAGTATTTTAGTCTAAATTAGCGAATGGTTTTCAATAATATATCTGAACAAATCTGTTAATAGTGGAATTTTGCATGCATAATTAGGCTGTAAAGGGTTTTGTTCGCATTATTCTTTCATAAGATATGACTAAGGCCAACAATAGCAATATTCTTGCTTTATTATGCACAATGTGTTGCGTTTTTCATTTACCATTGTGATCTGTCTGGAGCCATATTATGATCTTTATCTGTTTTTGTGAAGTTCCTAACATTGTTTTCTTAGGCTGTAGTTTAGCTTGACTTTGGTATTCTTACTTGGTATAAAAATGCACTGTGAGCATTGTATTGCCTTTTAAGATTTAAGAACCAACTCTTTGGGCACGTTTCTTCGTACAATGGCCACATGTACACAAATAGTTTAAGCCTGGTTTTTGGTAAAGATCATCTCCTATCTAATAGTCTATTGCTGCAATTATTTATAGTTTTATGGTGACAATACACTACTATAAATGATTTTATGGACAGTAATGAATAGTTGATACGAAAAATATATGGCCCTTTTAGTATCTTGTGGAGCATACTGAAAGCATAAAGGCACCTTGCTACAGGGTATATATAAAAATACTGTTATAAAGGGCGAAGGTGGCTAATCCAGTAAGAAGCCTCTTTTTCCATGTGAGATTCTCAGCAACTTCAACCGAGCAAAAATTGTTGAGTTCATGTAGTATATGCCTTAATCTATCTTATATATTCTCTCAATTAGTTAACTTGAAGGAGAAAACATTCCTCATGAAATACATTTCCTAAATTTATGCTAACCTATACTGTGAGAAACTATCTTTCTGACAAAGCTCCTAAATTTAATATGCTTGCTTTGTTTTTCTTCTTGCTCTTTCATAGGCAACAAGACATTCAGAGAGGGAAGCTCTTGATGTCCTTCAGGAACAGTGGCAGAGGACTGGATCTTCAGCTACAGAAGTTGCAGAGAAGTTTTCAGCATGCTCCCTTTATGTGACATGTGAACCATGCATATGTGTGCAGCAGCATTATCAATCATTGGTACATCTGTTGGTCATACTGAAATTAAACTAAACTTTCCTAAATTGGTTTATTCATAAATAATTAGATTTGTCTTGCCCCTTTTTAGGTATAAAGGAAATATATTATGGCTGTGCAAATGATAAATTTGGAGACTGTGGCTCAATACTTGGTTGCATTCAAGTAGCTCCAAGGCATGCATTTCTGAACTTGCTTTTGTTGCGGATTTCATAGCTACTCAGCTCCACTTTGTAATTGTGACATATGATGATTGACGACTAAAGCTTACTGGAGGTCTTCCTTATGTTGATTTCTGATGGATGCGATTTCGTGGTGGTTCTGTTTGTTGTCACTATTTAAATATTCCAACACATAACCATGAAAGTAAATGGAGGTTTATGGAACTAATTTTCCATCTTTTCTGTCCTTAAGTGGAGTTTCTGGAAGCATCAAGAATTCAAGTGTATATTAATTCTAAATTTCTCCACCCTCTTTGTTTCCTTTTCCTTGAATTCTTTGTGATTGGTTAGACATTTCTGTATTCTTTTCATATGACCAAGAAGATGTACAGTTCTGGGAAGTGCTACAAGTTAAGCTAACATTAGTTTCTTCTTTCCTGTTCCCTTTCCCCCTTGTTTATCACGTTTTCTCACTGCAGTGAGATTTTTGATGTCTTTAGTGTTGTCATGGTTAAATCTGGAAATCTGCAAAAAAATGTGATAATTTAATCATGATTAAATTATACTTTCTGATATGCCATGGGCAATGTACTTGATAAGGAAACCTCTGTTTGTGTTTATTAGTTGTAATCGTCTCTTCTTGCATACGTGAGAGCAGGTGCCTACTAAGTTTCGGTGTATGGCTTGTGTTTCCAGAATGATATTTCATCTGTCTGACGCTGCTATGATCTAACATTTCATGTTTTCCAAGCTTGTTTAAAACTCATCAAGGTTTTACTCAAACTTTGTTGACACAAAAGTTAAAACGTTGAAACAGGATCTGTTTCATTGTGATTTACGCAGTACATGAAGTAGCTAATCTAGATTACGGACATTGTTTTTCTATTCAAGTATTTTTTAAAGAACAACAGCTCAAGTACAGGGAGAAGAAGCAAGAGATGTACTAAGGATGCATCTTAACAAAAAAAATTAAGGAAAAGGAAATAAACCATGAAACCTCTTGACTTTTAGAGATTGAAATTTATAGTTATACTGCTCTTAATAATCTGACTATGAGTCAAAAGTATTGTGGGAGACATGAACTAGCTTATTGCCTTTCTGAATGCGACATCAAGCAAGAGGACTCATCTTGCAAATAAAGGACTGCCTTGCTCAATTTCCTCCCTCTCGAGCTAAAAAACTAGCCCTAATTATTGCATAGTTTCACGATAGAGTATGAGACTGTTGTTATAATGGTGAGCATGGTTCCTATGCAATGTTTGGAAGACATAGCAGATTGAAACCCACCCTAGCCAGTACTAGTAGACAAATCATCCACAAATCTTCTCTCATTGAGATGCTGGTACCAACATTTCTCTGAAGAGAAGTTGCCCATCTGAGTTAAAAGCCTCTAAGTATCACCCTGTTTACAGCATGTTAGTAGTTCTCCATGGACATTGGGTTTTACGTTGAAGAGAAAATATAGAACGGCCAAAGGCATTGTTAAAGTAAAAAATTTTAAGCCATAGTTACCCCAAACACACATCTTTTTTAGATTTGATCCAAGAATTTTGCCAAGGTCAATGCCGCTAATGAGCCTAGTTACTGTCAATTGAATCAAATGGTACAGTTCAGAGATAATTTGCTTGCATGAAAACCTATTTCCTAGAGTACAGACATTTCTTAAAATTGATAATCTGAGGACCGAAATGTAAACTTCTTAAGCAAGACATATTCTCCTATCGGCAAACTTGTTTTTGCTTACATAGTACCTTCTTTTGCAAAGTGCTTTGTCAATTAGTCTACTAAATTATCTCTGCCGTGATATTTGGACATGTTTTGCAATTGGAATTCGTTCCGGGTTTCAAGCTGATGAACTAGGTAAAAATGCAGAATCATTAGGAACATTGGCTGGTTTTCATAGAAATTTCATCTATGTTCCCCTTTCAAGTGTCTGCCCGATTGATGAATGTTTCCAACTTTTTTCTTGTTTCTCTTGCAGTAATGGGAATTCTGGATCAAAGGGTTTCAAATGTTGTGGAGGGATAATGGCATCAAAAGCGGTTTCTCTTCTGTGAGATTTTTATGAACAAGGAAACTATAATGGTGGGTACACTTTACCAGACTGACACTAAGTATAGTTTCTTGAGTGGAGCGGTTTTCAGCCATGTAATGGTTGCTATGAATAGGTGTAGAATATGCCCAGTAAAGAAAAGTTAAGAGTTTCAGATGGCCAGTCCTTTTTATGGGCCAATTTTCAGATGCTCTGTTTATCAAATATAGCTTTCCTCTAGACTAGGTATTCTTAGCTAGATTGCCATTTGAGAAATGGGATGTAAGGAAAAAAACGAAGTGCAGTATCTTAATAGTTGATAATCCGTTGGTTAGACTCATTGAGAGAAATTATCTTCTTCCTTGATCCCTATTGTGAATTACTAAACATATATGGTTCTTGGTCGAGCAATTCTCCAATTTGAGCTCTTTATTTGCAAATATTTGAAGAAACTGATCTGACCAGAACCTTTTTGTGCTTATGAGATCATTAGAAAGCTTTGGAAACTCGTTACATACAGAAAAGATGGTGTTGAAATAATTTATCTACACAATGATAAAATGAATTTGGTTTTCTTCTCTATTCTATAGAACCCCGTAACATGAATATCATTCTTGTTCACCATTTTTCCCCTCCTTTTCCATTCATTTGCTGTTTACAACATTGTGGAATTGTTTTTTTTTGTTTGAGTATTATAGATATATGCCAAATGCTAATATTTTGATTTCAGCTCCAAAGGTTCACAGGCCACGGGTTACTCAGGCTTCTCATTTGATCTCTGTGCATTGATTCTTCTTGTTGAATCCTCTCCTGCCTTTGTACAACTAGGTAAGACCTTTCAACTTATGATTCCTTGTTTTTCTGAACATCATGTAAAGTTTTATGATGCACCTTTGCTGGGTATTGAATGATTATCAGTTCCTTGTGCGTATAACAAGTGGGCTGCATTGTGTGACCTTTCTATATTATAACCTGTTAACAATGGAATGACATTGATTAGCACGCTGTGGCAATGTTTCTTGCTTTGGCAGTATGATATGATGCTCATACCA